GTGGTGCCTGTAGAAGCAGCTACCGGATAAACGCCTTGCGTCTCGCATGGTCCCATCTCCCACGTTAACGCGCGTGCCAGCAGCGCGTGCCCACATCGCGAAAGAGCTGTTTTTTCTTTCGCGCGAGAGATAACACGGCCGCTGCTTTCAGGCTCAGAAACGGCCACGACATCGACAGCAATCTTGGGGCTCTGGACGGGGGGCGAACACACAACAGCGGCAGCATGTATCACGAAAACCCGTCCGGAAGAGCGTTGCTACTTGAACCATTGCCCGTGCCTACCCGCCCCGCACCCCCCATTACCTTCGTGGGGTGCTTCTCCTTCTGCTCGAGGACGTATTGCAACAGAGTCCCTTTGCTGACCGGACCCCCCTTGGACGATCGGTAGCCGAGCTTGTTGTCGGCGGTGAGCTGCATGGCCGTCTTCCTCGTCTCCGGCTTGGTCAACGCCATCAGCGGCCCCATCCAGTAGCCGTGCGGCCCGGTGCTGCTCTCGCGGACGGGCGGTGCCAGCCAGCGGCGGGGTCATGTCGGTGGGTGGGTAATAGTAGATTGAAACGTGAACGGATCAATAAGCGGATGTACGTTCTTATCGTCGAAGGACAAACGCAACGGCCGAGAAACAAAAAGAGGGAAAGGATAAAAATCCGGCAAGGGTATGGTGGGTGAGCAGTGAGAAGTAGAGCGGGCGGGCTGTGCGCGGAAGGGCAGGAGGCAGGCAGGCAGGAAGGCAGCAGAGAGTGAACGTTCAAAGAAGGGGTGCGTGGAGATCCCTTGGCCGTCGTCGAGAGGTCCAGAGCGAGAAAACCAACTGCTACAGCAAGGTGATGCCCGTCCGCGCCCAAGGCAGCGAAGAAGCAGGCGACGACGACACGGAACACTCGAAGCTAACGAAACACGGCCCAAGACCAACAAGGAGGAGGGAGATGCCTCAAACTGCACCCATTAACTACATTGTATCTCCCCCACCTTTCACCCGTGTACTTCACAGCAGACAAAAAGGGAGAAAACGATCGCTACACACCATCGGGAGAAAAGCAGTGGTCAAAAAACGGAACCAGACACCGGAGCACACGGACGAGCAAAGCAGGGTGTTGCGTTGTAGAACGTGGCGGAAACGCGTGCAGAGCGTCGGAAACAGCAGTGAAGGTCTTTCTTTCAGGTGTAGGAGCAGTAGACATCTTTCAAACTCCGATTCCCGCTTCCCGCATGCCTATTATCCGTGAAAATCCAGAAATATGCGGGAATTCTCGCCTTTTGAGTTTGAAAGCGGTGGCGGGCTGTTCGTTTTTTCGACGCGGGAATCCCGTCGTCCTGGCGTGTGTTTTCGTATAAAGAGTCAATTCCCGCATAATAATTCCCGCGGCAGAACTTTGTGACAGAGAGGAACCAGACAGCCAGCGTCCTTTTACAGCAGGAGGCAACAACAACAACCCACCACTGTTTGCCACACCAAGTCTCAGGGAACGCAACATGAGCATAAAGCCGATATCGCCAGCCGCACGACAGGCACAACGTTGTACTGTCTGTGCGGCCGCTTGGGTGCACACCTAGCGCGCTGAGGCGCAAGATGCATACGTCCCTTCCCCCGTGCGCAGTCTGTCGTGTTTGCGGCATCGCCTTTTTGCAAGAAGACCTGAAACACCCACACGCAAAGACCTGACATGCACTCACTTGCCATAACACCTTTCAAGCTCGAACCCGTTCGTTGGAGTGTGCATTGCTTTCACTCCATTCCATTATTCGGTGGAGCGTGGGCATGTGTGTGCTGCTTCGATCAACTGGGCGCAGCGTGGGCATTCACTCTGGGCCTTTGTTTACGCATCGGTGTGTGTTTGTTGCTGCTGCTGCTGCTGTACAAAAGCGCGAAGTCAAATAATAAAGAGGAAGAGCCAGACAGAGCACAGAGCCGCTGCAGCTGCTGCATCTTCTCCTTGTCGTTGTATCAGCACACCACTGCCCCCACGCTCCACGGACAGAGAGCAGTGGTAGGATGCCATGTCTTAGCAGTTTTCAGCTCGAAAGGTGGTCTGTCGAGTAAGAAATCCAAAGCTAGCTGTGCCCTCTCAATCACTCTCAACCCCATGCCACAACGGCTCTAAGTACATATGCGCTCTGTGTTTCAGCTTTGTTTTTCGTTTGTTGTACCCGAGACAACGGCGAGTGCGCTTGCGCGCGGACATCATGTGATTGTGTTACGAGGATCTATTTTCGTAAGTGCTCTAGGCAAGATATGCTTCCTATGATGCCTTCCTGTCTGGTATTACAGCAGAGCAGCTTCTGGGCATTCGAAGAAGTAGGAAGTAGCGGTGGTTGAGTTTGTTTGAGCTCCAGAAAAGCAGCAAACAGCGGAACGGCGGTTGGCATTCTTCCGGGAAAATCCGAAAAAAGGCGGGAATGCGAGTTTGAAACCACCATGAGTATTCCCGCATCTATTCACCCAACCGGAACGGGAAAGTAAACCGCCAAAATTTGGCCAAAATCGGGTGCGGGAGACGGGAATCGAGTTTGAAAGATGTCTAGTGATATTTTCCAAACGGATGCGTGGCCAAGTGTTTAAATCGTCTTGGGCAAAAAACACAACAAGGGGACCCATCCCCCGCTTCCCCCAGTTACCTGACGCCGACCAGGGCCTTCAGATTCTCCTCGTACACGTCTTCTCCGGCCTCATCCCTCTCCCACCCTGCCCCCCCCCCGGACCACGCGCCCGTCGTCTCCGCCGCCCCCCCCTCCCCGCTCCAGCCCTCCCCCCCACCCATGCCGTTCGCGCCTCCCCCCTCCCGCTGACCAGAACCGTCCAACCCCGCTGCCGCCCCGCCCACCGTCTCCGGCGACGCCAGCGCCAACGGCGGCCCTTCTGAGGCCGCCTTGCCGGGCATGGCCGCGACATCAGCGGTAACGCTTGTGGCCCCCTCTCCGCCTTCGGCAGCCACGAGGCTTGGCGGTCGTGGCGGCGCTGCTACTGGTGGGTTTGAGCCCGATGTGCCGGTGCCGACCGCGGCAGAGGCAGGTGGTGGAGGCAGCGGCGACGACTTCGCCTGCTGCGAGGATGCTAAGGTCGACAACGAACGACGCCTCCGGCGGCCAGCAACTCCTGCCTTGGCCTCGCCCCCGACGGAAGCCATCCCCGCCGCCGCACGCGACATCTTGATCGTGGGGGTGGTGCTGCCGCTAGTAGCTGGTGCGGAAGTTGGTGAGGGGACCACCGGTGCGCTCTCGTCGTTCCCCGGAGGGATGCCGTTGTCAGGACCGGGCTCCGATTCCCCTGCCGCTGCTCCCGCCGTCGCGTCTGCACCCGCTCCTCTTTCTGCAAGCCCGGTGTGCTCAGGAGGGCTCGACTCGCCGACACCTCCGCCACGGTCAGGAACGGTCGGGGCTGTTGTGGCGACGCTGCTGCTGCTGCTGCTGCTGCTCCCCTCTTTGACAGGAGCAGCAGCAGCCTTGCCACCATCATCACCACCACCGCCCCCTTCGGGCTCGGCCGTTGTTGCCCACGTTGATGCTAGCGTGGCGTCGTCGTCGTCCCCCCAGAAGGACGGCCCCGTGCTTTCCGGGATCTCCTCCAGGTCCCGAAAATCGAGCTCGTCCTGGTAGCGGAAGTCTGCGGTGGCGGCGGCAGCACGGGGGGTCGCTTCCGCCACCCCCGCCGTTTCTGCTGCTGCCTCCGCTTGTGCGACGGCTGCAGCGGCGGGCTTTTCCTCTCCTCCCTCCGGAGCGCCGGTGACACCCTCGCCGTTCTTAGCCGCCTCCTTCCTGCTTTTGGCGGTAGCACCGGAGATAGGGTTCCCGAAGACTTGCCCCTTCCCTCCAAGGCTCTCTGCCCCTCGAGTTGGTTGTGTCACTGCCTCCGCCGCTACCCCTGCCGTTGCCTGCGCTGCTTCTTCTTCGATGACTGCCATTGCCGCTAGTACGGCTTCGCGTTCCGCCTGTGCTGCCGCTGCTGCTACCGCCGACTCTTCTGCTGCTAACGCCTCCGCTGCTGACGCTAGTTCGGCTGCTGGTGCTTCTGCCTCTGCTGTTGTCTCTGGCGCTGCCTCTTGGGGAGCCTTTGCCGGTACGTCGTCGGGGAGCAAGTTCAACTTTGCGCCGGCGCCGTGCAGAGATCTTGCCGCTTTGTTGTAAGCCCGAGCAGCATCCCGCTCGCTCCTGGGCAGCTCGATCGCACCAGTAGTCAAAACAAAAAGATAACGGGTTGATATTGGACTTGCTGGGCGGGGAACGAGGCAAACTGCGGTAGGTCATCCGAGGCGCCAACGCCATGTCACGAGCACACGTAGAATATCTGCACCACAGACAACCAACCCGGTTTCAGCAGACTGCTGTTGTCCATTGCCGTTGTCTGCTGCCACACAGATAGAGTATTCAAACCGCAATTGATGAATAGATCTAGTCTACATGACCAAGGGGCTGTACTACAGGGCCAAAACTACATGGCAAAGCAATACAGCAGTACGGTTTGGAATAGAGCTGGTAAAACAGCAGTCTACAGGTGGTTTCTCACTCGAACGTTCCCAGCTGTCTCAGCTGTCCCTTGGACACGAGTCGAGCCTTCCACTTGCCCTTGGGTCCTCCCCAGACGCCTCGGAAATCGGACGGAATGTAGCGCGTCGATGCCCGCTGCCGCTGCCGCTTGCTGACCCTGTTGCCGGGGCTGCCGGGTGGTGCAGCTGCTGCAGGGTCCGATGGTGGCGTCGATACCTGCTGCTGCTGAGAGGTCGAGGACGACATCATCCGCTGCTGAAAGACGCGACGAGCCGCGCGGCGCGCTGAGGGCAGCAGGGGCAGCCGCAGGGGCAGCGCTGCCGTTGTCGACAGCAGCTTTACACCACCGGCCGACCCCAGAACGGCCCGCTTTACACCAGTTGCAGCCGGCATCACGACGGGAAATGCTGCTGTCGTGGCCCAGTGAGATACATACGAACAGCAGACGGCGAGAGGAATCCACCTTGGCATGTCATCTGGGTGCGGAGTGTGTCCCTCCCTCTCCTGTACATGACATATGGGACACACAAGATGCGGCCTAACCTCTCATTCCATTTTTTTTTTTCGGGGTTTGAAACGCCAACTTTGGCACCAGAAAATATAGACACAACTTTCTAGTTGTGTCGCCGACATCGTGTCATCGTGTCACGCTTTGACACCCGCACACCACCAAGGGCCTCTCTCCGAATTGCACCAAAAGCGCTCGCAATGATGGCTGCGATTCTCACAGTAACACTGAGGGTTGGTGGCGATGGGTTGGAATATGGGCAAGTATCGCGTTCATAGCGCCAGCAAGGACGACGACGACAGACCGAAAACGAACGCAAAGAGGAATTCCTACCTACCGTTCTCGACCATGGTGTTGCACGAAGAGGATAGATCGAACGGAAAGAGCAATATGGAAGACGGCAGCGGCGACGACAACATCATGCTTGGCTTTCAGAACGTCAGCATATCTGCCGACGATCCGCCAAAGCACATTGTCGCCAACGTCTCGGGGTTTGTGGTGAAAGGTGCGGGAAGTGCAAAGGGCAGCGGTTGCATAGATAGGAGCAATACGCCCTTTTCCCCGAATCTTGCAGCGGTTTATAAGTTGCGAAGAATTGTGTATGATCGTTGCGAAGAATGTGTATGAGCATTTCGGAGATACCAGGCTAAATTGCCGTACTCATGAGGGGACAAGAGGGCACGGTGTGATGTCAGCAGCGTCCAATAATTTCGTTTGTACTGCTGTATGTCACGCTACATCAACATTCTTGAGGTTTCCGACCTAGACTACAGAGCTGTAGTCTACACGCCATAGGCCAAGACGCCGGATGGTCCGAACCAGCCTCGTGCCCCAAAGACCAGTCGAAGAGATCGTCTTCACGCGGTCTATCTTCTCATTGGTTCTGTTCGACCCGAAGCGCTTGATGCGACCACGCACGTCGGAACATTTTTATGACAAATAATGTGGACTCCGCTTTCCGATCCACAAGTGGAGTAAGCAGGCTACTGTACTTGTCGAGTGTCGTGTCTCCGTGGCGTACGTTTCACACGACGTGCTTTTCAGTGCTTGAGGTCGTTGTTCCACAACCCACTACGTCGGTATTCAAGGCAGCACATTGTTCGGCACTTGTCGCTGTCCCAACGAGTACTATGGACACATCATCACACGCCAGTACAACAACTGATGCATGTGCTCTGTCTGCGGTACGACACAGCATCATTTTGTGCTCTGTCTGCGGTACGACACAGCATCATTTTGTTCATTGAATTTCTACACAACCTGCAGCCTACAGACAATGAGAAAGCGATCCCGGTGTTCGGCCAATAATCAATATCTGTTCATTCTTGTTCATTGCGTTTCATCAAATGCTTTTAGGTGGCATTACCGCTGTTCTTGGGCCTTCGAGTTCGGGAAAATCAGTTCTTATGAAGGTCCTCACCGGCCGGCTGCCCACGCTCTCATGTGCTGGGGAGGTGAGGTCTTACGATTCATTGTTGAAGTAAAACTGCCGTTCTTTCCGTATTCATGGACAACGTTGGAACTCCCCCCCCGGACGCGTATTAGTCACACGACACGATGACTTTGGAACGACGTTGCATTCCCAAGTATCTTGTACTGGATACAACCTGGAAGAGTTTTCGTCGGCAACAAAATCGTAGCATCATCCGATTTGTTGTTACCCACAGAGAAAGTAAACACCAACTCAACCACGTCGGTTGCACCAGCACCGCTGTCTTACCCCCCTTAAACGTCCCTCCTTCGACATACAAACGCAACCAAGCGACTAATCAACTGATCGACTGACGGCATCAGGTAACCTTCTGCGGCAAGCGGATTGATCCGAACTCACAGGATAATGGTTTCGGTTTTGTGCCTCAGGAGGATAGCCTTATCGGTGAGAGAAAAATGTTGGCTAGGCCGTGTGCTTGTTCAGCTTGTTTTAATTGTTGAACTGCTACTTACAGCAGTATTGTTCTCTCAACATATACAAATGTCGGAGAGCACAATTGTACCAATCGCCTCCATTGTTAACGTAGTAGCACTCACAGGACATCATTCCATCTATGTTATCCTTTGTGCCTCCAGGTGTTTACCCAATTTGTTTGCCCGCTTGCCATTCATTCTGGGGCTTGATTACGCCTGTCCATGTCTGTAGAGCCTTGTTGATCTGCCAACAAAAAATAGAGATATATGCGCGTCGTTAAAGGTCGAGAATGCTTGTGAGCAACAACTTCTGTTTCGGGCTTTCGTACAACAGCGATCGCACAACCTCAAGGGGTACGGCAACCAACCCTAGAACTCTGCATGCATCTCTCGGCCCGTGCGTGGCCTTCTCCACCGTTGGATCGACAGCGATTACCATTCCACAAGAATATATCGCTCTTAGTTCCCAGATTGCCCACCGTAGCTTAGCTTCTTACGTCTTCCAAGGCTGGTAGCGTACAATAAGCGGCCGCCGTGTTTCCAGCGTAATATTTCTGTTTCAACGCACGGGCGTACTTTCCTTGTCCCCCCTCCTGCCCCCTGGCCACCCCTCCCCCATTCGCGCTAAGCCTTGCTGCCACCGCGTGCCTACTTGCCTCCCGAACAACAATAGGCGACCTCACGATTCGAGAAACATTCGAAGTCGCGGCGAGGTTGAGGAATGTGGGAACGATTGAGGAGGCGAGCAAGGCTTCCAATGAGGTATGTTTATCTCCAGCTCATCTTTGATACTCTTTTGAAAAATTAGTTGAGCACCCTCTCCTTCTGTGGACAGAAACGAACAAAATGTAGGAATATCACCACTCAAACGCGTAAGGGAGGGCGACGGCAATACGTAATACGTGAGCAGGCGCGAGTCACGTCGTGTGTTCCGCTACCATGGGCGTACACTACTGCCGGCTTAGACAGTATGACCTCCGTTGTATGCACTGCATAGAGACGCCCCGTTTTGCTAGCACCACACGTCGAGTCAAGGGTGGGGCCCAGGCAAGGCAGGCGACGACTCAACATGCAGTTTTGCTGAAGGGTGAAATGAAGGTGCCCAGCCAAAAACTACCCGCGGGCGATATCCATATCCCCCAAAAGGCGGTAGTGCATCGCTCTCTTGATGACGTCGCCACGCATTCAGTTCGGGACAACGATTGCCTGCCGTTCGTGGAAAAACCTCAGACGTCATGCGGTACAAATGGAAGTTTTGACGTTGCGATGGAGAACCTCCACCCTTCCTGACTGGACATAAAGATCGATCGCGTCCCCGTACAACACATTTTTCAACGTCAACCTAATACAAAACGATGCAGGTGATTAATGGGCTGGGGTTGAGCAAGGTGGGGGACAACGTCATCGGCACGATTCTCAAGCGCGGGCTGTCCGGCGGCGAAAAGAGGAGGACCACGGTGGGACAAGAGCTTGTCGTCAAGCAAGCGATGGCGTTCTTGGGTGAGTCAGTGATCGGTCCGTCGTCGGTGCGGGTGAACTGTCGTCCAACCCATACGCCGCCACTTGTACACTGTTGCATGTGAAAGTGCTTGTTTTTTTCCGGGAGGACTCGCGGTCTGGAGTTACGCCCTTCTTCCTCTACGAGGGAAAGAGCCCGATACACAGAGAGCAATTGAGATCGTAGGAACGAATGCGTCGGAAAGAGAAGAGGTTATCCAACCTCACGATACGCAAAGGCAGAGTCCAGCACATTCTATACGAAACGAGTGCATTGGAGCCGCGGCTGCTTTCTCCCCCACAAGAAACGAGCATGGTCGTGCAAACATCCCAAGTCTTACAAAAAGCATGGATCACTCCAAAGGGCAACGTGCGTGGAGACGCTGGAGGTTGAATTTCGGATTGTGGTAGAAACAGATCTCTTCGTTTTCCCAATATAGACCTCCGCAAATCAGCGGTGAAATTGTCTCAACATAATCATGAATACTTTCGACCTGATACTACTGTTTTAACGATGGGGATTCGTTCACATGCTCACAGCGTTGTATTGTGTGCCACACGCCGCAAACGCTTTTTCTCCACGTGTTTGATCATGTTTTTGACGTGATCAGATGAGCCTACCTCGGGATTGGACGGCACGGCTGCATACGATGTCCTCAAGGTAGAGTGCTAAATCACATGAAAGAAAAAATTCAATACGACACCGTTGTCCCTTGTACCAAAAGGATGTGTCTCGTTCGTTTAAGGGGAGGGTGTGCACAGGCTGCTATGTTTGCAGTGCGCATATAATTACTGTCTTGATTGTGTTTAAGCTGGAAGTAGCCATCGGAGGTGCGACCGCAGCGCATGGGTGCTTAAGGAATCCGTTCAGCGAAAGGGTTGGCGCCTCTCGTGGGCATGCAGTTCGGACATAAGCCTGTGATTTAACACTTTGAGCCGCAACGAAAGGCATGATACGCTCACCGATGCTTCGCTTGGTTCCAGGCGCAAAGAGGAAAGCCCTTTCTGGCGCTTCCAATCACAATACGTTGCACCCATATATCCCATCAAAATGCAGCGCTCTTGATTTTGTTGCTTCACGACAGAACACACAATATAGCGCTCTTGGCTGGCGTTTGTAGGCAGTCTCGCGGGATGGGAGTCTTGATGCATTGATATGTACAACGCGCGAATCCCTCCCCTAGCTTCTAAGTGTTGCAATCGAGAAAAAACAACAACGCCAGAACGGTCGTTGTACGCTCTTGCACCTGCGCGCGCATAGACGGTCAAGGACTTTACGACCAGAAGCAAGGGCGGCTTCTCGGTGATCATGAGCATTCACCAGCCCAACGGGCGTATCCTCGAGTTATTTGACCACATCCTGTTGCTCGGAAGGTGAAAACAACGACAGCATTTAGCGTTTCTATCACGATAGATACCTGACCAACGTGTGCTTTATTTCGAGCAAAAACCAGGATTGTTGATGGGGGCACTCGAGTTGTTTACGATGCATACATAGCTCCACAACGTTGTGAGTAGGATACAACGATAGGCACAGGGATAGGAGGGAGAGCCATAATGAGGCAATGCATAGCAATTAGCAAGTGTTCGCAAAGCGTCGCAGGTACGAAAAGGCACATGAGGTGCACATCTCGGGTGACGGGCAAAGTACACTAAATGGACTATATGCCTGCTCAAAGTGGCTCGTTCAGCTCAACGGCAGCACGTCTAATCGAATGACTACCCTTCCGAGGCACTCACCATGTGTAACCGGTGGATCTCAACCCCCGTGCTGCCTGTTTTTGCCTAACGTTTTTCTTTCGATCGTGTATACTCAAATCACAGAGGAGGGTCGATATTTTTCGGCACCCTGCCGGAAGCGATCCAACACTTCACGGACATCGGCCACCCGCCCCCCGCCGGGCAGGTCCCGACAGACTTCTTTATGCAGGCGAGCATGAACAACCGCATTGATCTGGGGGGGGGTGGGGGGGGTACCCCACTTGCGCCCAAACACGCAGTCCAGGAAGACGATGGCCGCTTGGTTGGTAATGTGCCTAGAGCGAAAGAAAGGGTTATTTCCAAGTAAAACCGCGCGGTTGGGTATGGAGAACCTCGAGGAAGCCCTGTGGTAGGCAGGCCTCTCGACCCTCGCCCGCACCGTGTATGATGGCTTATGTTAATGACAAGAAATAACTTTAGACGTCACTCGCAGTGGATCGGCCACCAAGTCGGCCGTTGAATCTAACAGCCCGTTCCCCCGTCTAAATAATGTGTGTTGTTGTGGTTGGCCGAACGAAAACGGCACCGGCAACGCAGGTGACGGAAGGTTCAATCGCACTGCCGACTATGGGCGACATCAACTTCACTCAGGTCTACGCCACGTCCGACACGCACGCAAATACGGTCCACGTGAGACTTGTTCGAGATACAGCCAAACTGTATGCAGATGTACCGTACTGCCCGCATACCATACACCAAGCGTGTAACGCATGAACGGAAATAATTATCTGGATTTGGTTTTCTACAAAAGGATGCGGGGTGGAAGGTTCAATCACATCACCCCATGGGTTTCCAGTATTGTCTCGCATGTGCGAACCAAGGTGACGACATAGGTAGATATGAGGCGTCAGTGTGCGCAAAGGGAAAGTAAACCTGCCCCTTTTTACTGTCTATCCGTCCTCAGGACCTCAGCACACTACTTTTTACAAGGCCTGTAGTCTAATCTGCAGTCTGACTCCATGTATGACCAGCCAATGGTGGCGACCCCGGTTGTATCTTTGGTCTTCGACCTACAACTTCGTCAGAGACAACAATATGGGTTTAGTTTCCACCGACGCTTCAACTATTTCCGTCGATATAACACCCACAAGGCGCAAGAGTAAGGCCCTGGCGAGACTGGCAAACGTCGCCTTTCATGTATTCTAATTTCTTATAGACGACGCTGGAGGTAGAGGCAAGAACTGGCGAACATGCTTGCAAAGGCTAATCCTCTCCCCTGGTGGTTTCACGCACACAAACACGCACAGGCGCTAGAGATTAGCAAGGCGAAAATGCTTGTGAGGCTAACCAATGGTATCGTGAACCCCACATTCGAGCGGCCGGGCTTCCTGAGGCAGTTGTCTACTCTATTGTGGCGCGATTCCGTGGTTGCCGTGCGAGATCCCACCCTGTACTACCTCCAGGTGAGTCAATGGGCTCTCGTGTACGCCATTTAGATCAAAAAGAATCGTCGTTGGCGAACCACTTCCACAGGCTGCACCAGGTACCATACGATACAACACGCCTTACCATGTGCAGTGCACCTGGATACTGAAGCGTTGAGGTCCCACCGGAACTCAACACGATAGAGAACCACCCACTGCCTAAGTGGACCTCGCCGAGGTCTTGTGAGGCGCTTGTGTTCAAGGTTAGCAGGCGAAAACAAAAGAAATCCAGGACCAATAACCTCCTGGAGGTCGGTTCGGGCGGGGTCGGATTAGATTTTGAGGTGGGTTTGATGAGACCACGTTCGTTGTGAAAAATGTGCGCCATGTTTTCGACACCAGCTCTGTCGTTCTTTTGTACAGCTTGCCACAGTTACTCTATCTCGATGTCACTCCGTGTAATGAACGCCGAACACTTTTGGAAACCCGCCGTCATGTGCGGGAGGAACACCAACATGGTAAAACACTCGATTCAGATAAACACGGCTCGTTTGTTTGAACCAGAGAGTGGGGATACTCGGTGGGACGAGGACGAGGGCGGAGTGAAGTCACCCGAGACCTGTTTCGGTAGGAATTGCTTGAAACCGTTTCTGGTTGGTACTTAAAAAGGTAACTCTATTCTGCATACATCCTATTTGGCGGAATAATTGACTTCACATATAAATTGGACATTGCCTCTACGTGCACCCGCACGCTACTTTTAAGACACGCCTATGAGACGCCGACGATTCGTGCGTGCGCCCTTCTTGCTTTCGCACAGCCAACTACATACCTTCTACAAGAACAATGGGATGATGACGCAAGTTTTTAAGCCCCCGCCGAAGCAAGCCTAGGTTTGAACCGTTAATCGCCAACACGTATCTTTCAAACCCCCTTACCTGGAACAGGGCCTCTTTCGTCTCGCCCCTGTACAACTCCACGAAGCCTCGTGCCCCCGCTGCCTTCAACCTCCCCGCCCTGCGATCGCCTCTTTTCGTGCTTGTCGCCCCTTGCCAAAAGTTTGTCTTGCACGTGCTGTACGGTTTCTTCGTCGGGACTACCTTCTGGAATGTTCCAACGACTCTCGACGACCGCCAGACACAGCTAGCGGCGTCGTGCATGTGGATCATCATGCTTCAGTCTTATGTGCACGTTTTCAAGGTGAACTCCAGTCTTGTCGTTACTCTCTCAATCCCTCAGACTATTGGCAAGTACACGTCACAATCAAACTGATAGGCACGGCCTCCTTGCAGAGTGGTTGTCGTACGATGCATCCGTCGCTCTCACCATACCTTGTCAACGCCTGCTGCCTGCTCGAGCGTTCGAAGAACGTGATCTAGGTAAGACTAGAAACAATCGAAACGCACATATTATTTCGTCACTATTTATTGCATGCACGTATACATAGGGTCACTGAGTGCTGATGGCATTTTTTATCACCCCAACCACACTTTTGCAGGGTAGAGCTGATGCCTTACATGCTCACTGTATGCAAAAAATCGATGGAGGAATCATCTGTACGTATGGCTCATCAGATGTCAAATTTACACTCTGACCGCCCCGCCCCGTCGTAGTACGCACCAACTAACACCCAGAACAACGTTCTGCTAACAACATGCGCGGTGCACTTTCAGGTATTCTACCTCGTGAACAGCAATCGGCGGTTTGCCAATGAACGCTCCAACCTGTCGTATGGAGTGACGTCGTTCTTCCTCGCTGAGACGATCGTGACGTGTCTGGCGCAGCTCCTGTGGGTTCCCGGGTGCTCTCTTGCGTTCTTCATGGTGAGTCAGTCTTCTCAACATAGCGGGTTCTTGGTGACAGCTAGAACGCATTATATTTTCCAGCGCATCACACAAAGAAGTAATGCTTGTGATCAAAATTTCGCGCCCCCTGGTACATACACTCGAAACAGCTGGTCGGGAGCGGAGTAGGCGATTCAGCGTGCCACTTGCTACCTCGGGTACACGGAAGGTGTCACTTCTCAGTACGCATTTTCCTACGCGCGGCCCTCAGACGTATGTGTTTGGTCTACCTGTAGCAAAGAGTTTCCGCTAAGATTTCGCTTCAACTCGCTCACAATTATTTTGCTTCTTCAGACAAAGCGCGCCATCTTGCTGACGTTTCGTCATTTTCTGAAAAATGTTCGGTTCGCGATCGGACAGATTGGCCTCCCGGCAGACGCGTACCTATTCTCCATGCTGGCGCTTTACGTGGGGGCGCTCGCCGCGGAGGGGATGATCAACCTCATCACCAAGTTTACGTGCGTGACAACTGCGTATGACTGCTGTCCACAATATAGTTTTCTTGTGGGACACACTGTACGGTAGGTCTTAAAACGTTACGTCTCTAAATCTCGTTTGATTTATTCTTCAACAACGAAACCATCTGCCAATACCTTTGGTAGCGTTGCCGGTTCGCGTACTCTGCCTCTTGGCGGGCGGGAAAAGCGACTAACCTCAACAAGCACCGCGACCTGACTGTCGTACCTTCGGCAGGAACAACCCGAGCATCGCGATCGTGATATCGCAGGCGGCCCTAGTGATCCTCACCGTCTTCGCCGGAGGCATCTTTATCCCTTTCGACGAGGTAGCGCCACGTACAGTACAGAATGCGCCCGCACTACAGAACCTCTAGTGTCGGCCGAGGTATCAGTTCCTAGGGTCATGCTACGAATGGTCGCTATATAGGTTTAGTGTAGGGATTCTTAACCGAGCTCACAAATGGTGCTCAAGTTCTTAAATTGGGTATTTTTTTTAGCTCAATTTCTTAACTCCCTGGCTCGTTCTGTATGTATCTCTCACCCATTATTCGTACAGATGCGTCCAACCTTCAGATCACGTTCAGACCCGTCTCGTCACGTGCTCTACACGTGGTAGTAGGCGTTTGCTCTGCCCTTGATACCGTAGCAGTTCGAACTTCGTTCTTGGTGTTGAAAAGAGTATAGGCGAGCCTGACACGAATGGTGCAGGCTGCACTCATACAACACACCCGCACGAAAAATATCCGCAGATCCCGGAGTACTGGAGCTGGGTGGAGGTCTGGTCCGTCTACAAGCACTGCTCTCGAGCTTTTCTGATGGCCATCTTTGAGGTGAGGTAGAAACAACTGTCATGTTTAAGTACGAGAGTCCACAACTAGCCCACGTCGGCTACACAAACCTTGAGGAGATAATGCCTCCCCTCTACATTATTACCCCTCCGTTCGAACCAAGCCGTTTGATGGGAACAAACCACTTGGAGGCGTTAATTGGGATGAACACAACCTCTTGGTTCGTCTTCGGTGTGGATCACGGGTATGTCGTTTATAAATGAACGCAGTTGCAGAGGTGTGAGTTGAACACACTCAGTTGAAATAGCCCTACACCGAAATAACGATCGAAAGTGTAGGTTCCGTGGCGAGATTTGTTGAAAAAAATCAAGGCGCACGCGTTCATTACCAGCAGGGGGTGGGGAAGGGGAGAGGGCAGAAAGAATGTGCCCTTCCGTTGGACGGGGCTTGGAGGATCAGATGAGCTAGATATATAATCGATTCAGGTCGTCTACAGATGATTTGTGTACCAGAGAGACAGACACTCTCCCTGAACGGCATTGATATCTACGTTACTTCCAACATGTGGTTTTGGTCCTGGCGCCGGGCACGCGTTGATATCTTGGGCTGCATACACACAACGACGAACCACATATTGGGGGATGAGCTTATGTGACCAACCAAAGTAGCAAATATAGCAGCAGCAACAACGACAACCACCACTAACAACAACAACAACAACAACAACAACAACAACAACAGCAGCAGCAAACAAGATCTAGTCTACCTCGTAGCTAATCTTTTCCCCCCTTCTCTTGCGCGTCGTGCCGTGCGTAAACGCAGGCATACTCCCCCCACACTCGCAAACACAAACACACGTACATAAATATATGCGTCTCTCTTTTGTTCCCCCCTCGGTAGCACGTGCTGTACGACTGTCCGTCGGGTTCGGTGACGCTGACGACCCCGGACGACTCCACCGCCAACCAAGGCTGGTGCACGACGTTCCAGGACACGTACGAGTGCAACGAGAGCTTCGACGATAATACCATGCTCTGCGAGGTGAACGATGCGTGGTGTGCGCCACGTTGTGGTGACCGGGGGTAATAAAAAGTCACGCCCCGTCCTCTTTTTCATTGTCGCCGACGTTGTTGCTCGATTTCTTTTTCCCTTCCACAGATAGATGATGAACAAAGAGGCGATGAGGGTGTGCGCATGCGTATGAGGGGACGTGTTTTTTACCTGTGGAAAACTGTAATTTGACGCGCGTGGAGGCTGCTTCCTCGATAAGGATGCAACAGGGTCGCAGGCGCAATGTGTTCGGCGGAACGCATTACTATCACGGCATGTGCGATAGTGTGGCTCACCCTATAAGCACCCGGGCGGATACATTTGTCCTTTTTCGATGCAGGTGGAAGGAACCGTAGTACTGGACATCAACGCGGGCGGGCTCTCGGGAAACAAGTGGAATTTCCTCGGCCATACCATCGCGCTGGTCGTGGTGTTCCGCGCCGGCGTGTTATTTTTCCTCAAGTGAGCCCCAACGATTTTTTTGGTTGAAACTCGTCAGCGGCAAGATTGTCGCCAAACGTATTAAAGCGCTGCTTGTCGCTTCGACTTGCCTCCAAAACAGCCGTGTTTGGTTTGTACGCCGGCAACGTGCACAAAGCACGTGACAGGGTCCGGATAAGGAGCGCTACTATCCTACTATAACAGCAAAATAGTATGGTGATTGTGTTGGCCGGTTTCGGTTGTTGAGCTCGAAACCTCTCAGCTTGTACAAAAAGAGACAGCCACGTAAAACGTATCGCCGACGAGATATTCTGTACGAGCACATCCAACAGCAACATGGAGACGACAATAATAGCAGCGTTGGTTTGATGGACGACGGCTAGTGGTACACCGCACCGGTGGACTCATCTCACCCTGACAACAGCAACGACGACGACCCTGGCAAAATAAGATGAGTTTCAACCACACTCACTCACAGGTTCCCCAAGGAGGCCATCATCCATGCCATCAAATCCCGCCTAGCCTCCCCCGTAGTCAGTACTTCCCTGCAGCACCAGTCGGAGATCCAGATGCTCTGGGGCGAGGTGAGGAGATTTGTATGGACAGACGTCGTGTGTATGCTATTGCCTTGGAATAGATGCCCTGCGGTGTCACAACAATAGGAGAAAAACTGCAAACTGTGCATGGTAGCCGTAATATACGAGCACGGGTTGGCCCTCTCCGACGGTGGGCACCCTGGTCAGTGTGTAGGCCTTGGGGGAAAACCCATACACCGCAGAGAATGTTCACTATCTTGGTGAAATCGCTGACAACAATAATTTCTTGGACGTTACATCAACGATCAAGACACATACATGCACAATCCCATAGGTTGTCTAGTTAATCTTCCGCTTGTTTCTTCCATATCCGTACTTGCAGCCTCTTGTCGAACGACAAAAAGTTATTGCCGTTTTTCCGGAAAGGCCGTTCGTTTTGGCTGTACAACCAAACTGTCGGGAATTACCGCTTATCGTTTTAGCGGCGACACCGTTTCAGGATCGCATACAACTCGCTCTGGGTGTCGCGCTGTACGGCAGACACAAGGTCATTTTTTTTCTCGTGATCACTCATTTCTACGTCGAAGAGTGTGGCTGGCGATGTTGGTATGGTGAACTGCCACACCAGAAGTTTCGTAAATGGACGAAGAAGATGAATATTAACATTTACACAATTCACATATTGTACACTTTTCCAAAAGCACGAGGTGGGAAAAGCAAACGTCATTGGCGTCGGTCGTTCTTCGTTGCGTCACCGGCACCTCTCCCCACCCAAACCGAAACTGACAACAACAACAACAACAACAACAACAACAACCAGATCGTGAAACTGAAGAAGGCGGCAACACCCTCGGTCACTCCTGCTGCCATGGAAGAGGCCACGGCGAAGCCGTCTGCACAACTTCAACGAAGAGCCAGTGAGTCGACCCATAGAACTCGCTGCTGGTACTTGGCTGCGCTGTTTCATGCAGATATCTACCTGCTTGGATCGTTTTGGCTCACGCCCCTTCGTTGGCGCCCTCCCTCTCCGGGGTGTGGCGAGCTCCACCAGACCTGGGGAGGAGAAACAGGGAAACCGCTTATGCACGATTGGGTGAATTATCAGTCTTTTGGGTCAAGTTGTGGTAATGAAATTAAAACACCAACTGAACGTAGTCAGTCAAACTGTTCGAGTTTCCCCCAGGGGGCTCTTCGTCGATAAAGTCACCTGCCCGATGTGTCCACGCGAGTGTAGGTGTACGTGGGCCTGGTAGGCGAAAAGCCGGCGGTGAAAACACCCCGCTGTCGTACGGACGCACTTTCTTTAGAATCTGATTGTGGCCCTTCTACATGTTTGCTCTGAGTAGTTTGCCGTTTCTCGGAGATGTGTTTCTTCTTCGCTTCGCACCTTAAGGGAGACTCTCTCTAGATCTTTGCACGATGAACCCCGCTTGAGAATTGCCCGTGACCACAGAAACTCTCTTCTTTCCAAGCGAAAAGGTAGGCACCAAAAAGAGAGAGGAGCGTTCTTCTGAAGCAAATTCCGGGAAAATACCAAGCGACAACGGCAACGAACCACCCATACACCGTGAATATCCATCCCGTCCAAGTGGCATAAAAACTCGCCAGAGGCCAGAATATGCAATTTATTCGTGTATGTATCGTTAAGCGCTAACAATTCCGTCTATTTCGACAAAGAAAGAACGAGCAGAACAATTTTCTATTCCGTTCACGAGCCGGTTGGTGAGTCCATCTCGGGTGTCGTTCCAATTCCCGCCATTGCTTACCATGCGGTAGGTGTCTGTTTATCCGGCCTGTCGATCGACCTGTCCAATTCCTTCGTTTTGCGTACTTGCAGCCTTAAAGGCGTTGAAGGAAGAAGGCGAGGGTATGGTTCCTTCCTGCCACAGCGCGGAGAATGCTCAGGTGAATTGTTTTGCGTACGTGGGGGCTTTGGTGTCGATTGATTGGTTCACACTAGTGACTGGATGCCGTTCGGTTGGTTCGTTTGTGATCTGTGGAGACGTGTGGTGGGATCACTTGTGATGAGGAGCCATAACGTGATTGGTTGAGCAGTGATCGGTATGTCGACGGCTACCTGGTGATGGAAGAAGTCAATCTATTGGATAATTTGATGACCTGAGAAACATGATCTGACCAAGTGGTGTTCGGAGTTGGGTGGCTGGGCTCATGGAATGGTTCGATTTAGCTTAAACTTGCGCTCGTGGGTGCTATCTGCAACTGCTTTGCTGTTCTATTTGTACTGGTTGCTCCTTGTCGTCTCGGTACCATGCAAGTCGCTCCGCAATCATGTCATGATTTCAGGTAGTGAACAACATCGCGCATCACCCACACAGAGAAAGGGCGCGCAAAATCCCTTGAGCCGATCGTCGGGGAAATGGAGCTCGTGAATAAGTGCTACGACCGACTGCCTAGGCAAACAAGAAAATTTCCTTAACACACCGTACAAGTAACTTCGTCTTTTTGCCCATGAATGATTCGGAGATGTTGGAGGTGTTGGCGGGCAGTCCTCACGGAAAACGAAGGTGTTTTCAGATGTCGCTTTCGTTCTCTCATCCCTCGAATTACCGCTCGACCGGTGGAACAGAAAATATTTCCTTGGGTCCGGTTGTTTTCCTCCAAATCACCATTATTCTTGCTCTCCGCCTCTGCTGACGAACGTCTCCACTACCTCTCAACAAACAACACCGACAACGACAATGACAACGACCACAACGGCCCCCTCTCAGGAAAAGGCGCTGGTGTTCCGTGACATCACTCTCAAGCTACGGTCGAAGGAAAAAATTCTGATTGACAGCGTGACCGGTAAAGCCACCGCCGGCCGCGTCCTCGCTCTTATGGGACCCTCCGGTGCGTGGGCGAGCGCTTTCGAGCGTGTAGAGTACCATGTGTCATTTGAAGAAAGCAAATGATACTCTTTGAAATATTTTTAAAACCTTTGCTCCCTCCAAGGGTCTGGCGAACAGTATTTTATTTTGATTTCCCGGCCCTTACCTTACTAAAGTGCCTGAAGACGATGCAGTTGTAACCGGTGGGATGTGCAAACGAAGGCCCATCTGATCACCATTATTCTACAGTAGGGTCCCCTTGTGGGTAGGGTTGCGTGCTTTGAAGAATGCCCTGTGGGGAAAAGCACAAGCGGGCTCATACTTACACTACGCCATGTTGTCTTTTGTCAAGGGGAACAAAGTGTTGAGACGGCGAGTGGGGTATCCTCGTGTTTAACCTGCGTTACTCTCTGTGTTCGCTTGGCATAGCTGATAACGACGACAACACCATGAAAGAACCACCTTGTCGCACTCTCGCGGGAAATCTTTACCATCAGACCCCATCCATTGATAGGGTGGTAAAGTCCATCGTACGTTCCAGAAAACATTTTATAAGGCAAAATTGGAGCACCCGAAACAACAGGACCAGCCCCAGCCGTTTCCGACGTTGCACCCCCCCCCCCCCCCCTCCCCAACGAACGCCGAAATACTGCTTTCCCTCATATGTACGCCTCCCTCTTATGTACGCCCTCTCGCCAATGCTACAATGCTCCCGTCTACTGGTATGTCGCGTGCCATCAGGTGCGGGGAAAACAACGCTACTGAATGCCCTGGGCGGAAGAGCGACGTACGGCGAGGTGTCCGGCGCCGTCACCCTCGGCGGACGGCCGCTGACAAGCGAGGACCTGAACTACGTGCCCCAGTTCGACGAGCACAGCGAGCGGTTCACCCCGAGGGAAATCCTCACCTACATGAAACATCTCCAGGTTCGGCATTTTTACCGCTCGATCTATCCGGATCTTGGCAAACGTGCAGGAAAAAGTGCTTGCTCGGACAACCTTTCCCCCAGTCGTGTTGCTGCCCTTCTCCATCTACATATCTGTTGCAGTTCTTCTTCTTGTGTTCTCTACCTCGCTGCTGTTCCCATCCATCCACCTCCTCTAACTACCGGCGAACAAAGTTATAAAACGTGTCTCAATCGTTGTCATCGCTAACATCAACAACAACAACAACGAACGCAGGTGGTCCCCAAACCTAGGTCTAACCGAAAGAGCGTAATAGAACTCCTGCACATCCTGGGGCTGAGTCTTAAGGCGGACGTTATGGTGGGGACCCTGTCCGGGGGGGAGCAGAAGCGGCTAAGTATCGGCATGGGGATGGTTGCCGGTAAGCACGTTGTTTTGCTGTTGTTGCTGTTTGGTAGTGGTGTTGCTGTTTGGTGTCGATGTTCCTTATCGTTGATGAAACACCGAGCATGTATGCGCGATTCTTGGCATATGACAAGACCGTAAACTCCGTTTTACGATATATCTTGGTGTACCCTCGTTTGGCGCGTTGCCAAAGATATTATACAGTTCTTCCGTGGACGTTTCACCGAATTGTTCGCAAAATGTTTTTTGAGGCCTATCGTGGAGTTAGTTTTGGTTCGGCAATCAGTACTGATTGGGATTTGAAGTCGTGCTTTCTTTCGCAAGAAATATGTGCACAATGGTACGGGGCAAGACAGATGTCCCTCATCGCCCTTTCTCACCATCGATCGCGCGAATTGAAGCAAGCCACCCCCCCAATCCGATAGCACCAAAACTAGCGACTGCCTTTCATACCGGACCAACCGTGCCAACCAACCAGAACCGGAGGTTCTTTTCCTGGACGAACCGACGACGGGATTGGATAGCGCTTCCGCCCACTCGGTGGTGAAGTACATCTCCAACCTCGCCAGGCAGACCAATGTGGTCTGCATCATGACGATCCACCAGGTAATTTTGTTCCAACTTTGTACTCCCAGCAGCTCACAACCCCCCCAAGAAAGATGCAACAATATGGCAGTAACGCCCGCTTCTCGAAAGCTGTGTCGCCCAGGATACCTTTGTACAAAGTTGGTACGCTCAGGAAACGTTGACATGTATAGGGTTTCACCGTGCATTGTTTGCGTGGACGTGTTTTAGTCTGTTCTCCCACATCGATGGCAGGTGGAGCCATAAGCAAGGCTTCGGGGGAAGCCAACATGGTTGTTTATGGAGGCATTCCTACAAGTACAAACGACACTGAGACGGTTGTTGTGGGCAAACTCTGTTCGTTTGGGCAAAGTACACACTGTACCGTGGCTCCAAACACTACCCCGTGATGTTTCCGATCGCAGCCTGCCAGCGAGGTGTTCGACATGATCGAGGACCTGATGCTGATGGAGAGCGGTAAGCTGACGTACTTCGGGACGACCAAGAACGCGAGAAACTTCTTTGACTCGTTGGCGGGAGAGTGCCCCTCGAGTGTCAACCCGGCAGGTGCGGGTTTTTCGGGGTTTCAGTCGATAAGTGTTCCGCCTAATATGCGCAGGACATCACACGTCCCAGTCAAGGGGCGTTTTGTCTTGTACAAATAGTGGCGGGAGAGACGTGGCCCTCAACATGGTCGATCGTGCAGAGCCTTACGTGGAGTCTCTCTGCACACGATTCGTGAGGTCTGAATGGACTCGGTTCAACCCTCACCCGCTCTCTCTCTCTCGTTTTTAAGTACTGCACGTACCTTCGCACGTGCGTACACACGGAACAATCTCACATCATCTCGGCGTTTCGGTTCTGCTCCAACCACGAATGTCGGCTTAATAATAGTGTATCCGGGTCGCCCTCTTTGTTCGCCCGTTGTGATTCCAGGAATTGTTTCCAGACCACGTGCGAGCCCAACAACTATGACGTTCAACGCGAATACCGTGCAAACCGCACGTAGTGAAAACCTGCGATTGATCGCAAACGGTTATTGACTTAGCACGTCTATCTCGACTTGAACGCCGAATGTATGGGCGGCATTCCGCACGATCCCTCGATGCGTGTGTGTCTAACAAAGTAAATACCACCTCGTGTGTGCACCACTTGCCTCTATGCAGAACATGAAGTCGACATTGATTGACAGGTAGCTACTTTCGTTGCTTCAACACAAGAAACTATCCCAACAAACGATTGTCTTACCTTTACTCTTGGTCCAACCGGTTGTGATTCACGAAGCGTTGCTTCGACTGCAAACCTCGCCAGCAATTCCGTTTGTGCGTGTGTGCCTCAGTCTTGTCTGGTTGTGATGTTTCGTTCTTCCGGTGTTGCTCTTGTTGCCTATTCTTGCGTCGAACGAAACTCTTGCAGACTACTACCTCGATCTGATCTCGCAGCCCCCGTCCATTGACGTCGGCAAGGGCGCAACGTGGCAGGTACGTTCGTTCTATCTGTTATTTCCCTTTCACGGGAAGCGACCGGAATTCTGCCGCCTACGTTTGAACCAACACAAATGCCAGGTTGTTCCGCAACAGATCATCGCTTCGATCCACACGCCGATCTCTTTTCTCTCCGACTTTCCAACCACGGATGCCCACGACTGTTAGGGTTCTTCCGACCATCTACAAGCCACCTTGTCAGATTCGTTTTATGTTCTTCACGTCTCGTTCCGTGCTGCGAATGATATGCATACGTACGTCGAAAGTCGGTTCAGGTATGGAAGGGAAATGCTCACAACTTGGCGACTTTTGTGGACGGCAACATTTGAATCGCTTCGTGTGTGTGTGTTTGTACCGTTGTTGTTGTTGTTGTTGTTGTTGCGTCGTCATCATCGTCGTCGTCGTTGTCGTTGTCGTTGTCGTTGATATGGGGATACAGTTTCATTGTTTATTTTAGATGCTGCTGCGTTGACACTATCAACAGTTCAGGCCGGAGCCTGGAACGCCCATATTCTAGTACGTTCGCACGTCGGTACGTATCGACGGAGCGTTCTATTCATCTCTTTGGTTCTCGTGGTCACAGGAGCTGTACTACAACAGCGAGTTCAACATAGACATCCCCAACAGCACGGTACGCACGGACAAGGAGCCCGGCGACGGCGACGGCGATGGCGGGCGGCCCCGGCCCCACTGGAGCGTGGTCGCGCGCACCCTGCTGGACACTCAGCTCGAGTACTGTGAGCCAACTCTTCGTACCAGTTTGTTGCTGCTCAAATCGTCCTTGTATTACGCCTGTCTCCTTGGTCGTGGTGCGTGCCCTCGTTTCGTAGCGTGCAACTAAGGCAGGAAGTCCCGTATGCGCTCAACACCTTGGGGCTGACCAAGAGTTACGTATACTGTAGCAGCGAACGACGACCACCCATGCGGGCGTGTCTGTGTGGGCGTAGCAAAGCCAGCAAAATAAAACAACGAAGGGGAGCAAGTTTTGTGTTCGACAACAAACGTCTGTGTACAACAAGCACTCACTCCCCATTGCTATTATGTGTGAATGTTCGATGCCCCGGGCGGGACGGGCGATCGATGCAGACTGGAGAGCGACCGAGGTGCACTGGTTTAGGATTCTGGAGCTGATTGTGCTTGCGATTTTCGTCGGCACCATGTACTTCCGACTGGGCAAAGACAGGATCGCGGAGACGGCGGCCGCCGCGTTCTTCAACATGTGGTGAGTAGTGAGAGCATACGAAACGTCCTCCTTCTTCTTCGACCGTTTGGTAGGCGTGGCATGCGGTAGAGAGTGAATGCAGCAGTTAGGTATGCACGCGCGTTCTTCAAAGCAGTGTAGTGAGTCCAATTGGACGCAGTGGTAGAAACCAAAACATACTTGTTCCTTGGATGTGAGTTACGCGTGTTGTTACGCGTGTTGTTATTGTTACACTAAGCTCGGGATATTGACGATCAATGTCAGTCAATCGTGATTAGGTGAATGCATGGTATTATTTCTTCCTACAAGCCATCTCGGTTTTCCCCGCGTATCTAAACAAGCTTTTTCACGGTGTACTCGATGAACGCAGACGGCGTTTCTTGCTCTCCATCATGTTGTTCTTCTTCGCCTTCCCTTTCCCCGAACACATCTTCCTCGTCTCTTCACCTGTGGTACTACTCAATACGCGTAGGCATTCCTTTTCCTCCGACCCTTCCTCCCTCTCTCGCCTTCCCCTCCCACGTGCATGGTCAGTAATTGCATGGAATCGACAACAGTAAAATCGGTACCATAATACACGATACTGACTGCTTCCCGCCCCCCCTATGTACCACTAACAACCCAATCGCTGCGCCTCCCTTCCACTCAAAACCAACACAAAGGTGCGCGCTTTTCGCAGTAGTGGCGTCTGTGCCCGCCTTCGCCAGAGACCGCCGTCGAATCCTCCAGGAGATGCTCAACGGGGCATACGGGCCCACGATGTACTGCTGCACGCAGTTCTTGGCATCGGCTCCGTTCATCCTCGTGTCGGCGCTCGTGTACCAATCAATCTTCCACTGGCTGGTGCGGCGATAAAGTGGCGTTTTTCGACATCAGCGTGGGGCTTTGTTTGACCCCATAGTATCAGCGTGGTGATCTCACACTATGCAAATCGACCATACTTCCTTGTATTCTGGTCTTGATAGTCACATCTTGGTAACTTGATATTCGCCCCGGGCATACCTATCTCTCACCATGGACCACTCCTGTGCGACAAGCAAGGGTGCTACCCAATGTTTTTGGCAAGGGCGTTCTTCCCATGGAACTTGACACATACGGATACGTTGACGACCTATGCCGAAATATTTTGTGTGGTTACGGAACGCACAACTTTTGGCGTACCGGATGAAACTGGATTGTACGGAATCGGAACGCGACAAAACAGGTTGGCTTCAACGACAGCGTCTACGCCTACATCTACGCCGTGCTGCTGACGGCATCTCTGCTCTTCATGATGGAGGCCATCATGCTCATGGTGAGTGGAAAGATGCAGTGTCTTTTTGTTTTTTGGAACACAATTTCCAGTCGGAGAGATTTCCTCGTTTACAAGCGAAATATTCCTCAAGCACTTAGTTCCTCCTGGCTGATACGTCAAACATATACTCCGAAAGGTGTGTAGGCTGGCGCGAAAAGAGAGAGGGTGAACACACACAGACACACATGAGTCCCCCCCGCCTGGCTGAAGCACTCGAAAGTGCCCTCCCTCACGTACGTGCTCTAGCCCCACTACGGACCTATAAATAATATTCTTTTGTATACCGCAGGCGTCATAACCCCCCCACACACACACACACGAACACTAGGTGGTGGAAACCCTCAAGAACGCCATGCTTGCGTGTACCTTCAGCATCGTGGTTCTCGGCGCGCTGTTCCTCTTCGCCGGCTTCTTCATTAAGGTATGCATGTGGATATCGGTGACGATGGTGATGGTGGTGATAGATAGCCATGTTTTCTCAAACTACTCTCGTTGGTTGTATCACCCTGGGTGCCGTCGTGTTTGGAGACAACATTGTTCACTACTGTTGAACATATTGATCTGCGTTTGGTTGCTATTTGCACATATTATTTGGCTTTGGGTCGTAGTTTTGCGACTGATGTGCTTGTGGTGCATCTCCAGACAAAGTGGAGCATTGGACAAACATATCTTCGAGCAGGAAAGGGGAGACGCCCACTAATAGAAGAACATTGACGTTGGTCACCACATGGCAGAAAGGATGAGTACGCAAGTCATGCTAAATGGCAGATAAACCAAAAGAACCCGAATATGGGCGGTGTCTGTCTGTGGAGCACGAACGGTGCTCGTCCGCTTTCCAAGAGATGCGTGGTCAACGGTCAAACGACACAGGCAGGAGATATATGAGTACGCCCCCCCCTCCCCCCTAACCCCCCCCTCGGTGTTTGCCATCGGGGATGGGTTTTCGTCGCTTGGCAACGACGTTGTAAAACAAACCGATCACTTCGTGAGCTCGGCAACCAGGTTTTCCCTTTGTTTTTTGCCTCTGTCTTTTTTTGCGGTAACCATAATGAATGGTGGTCGAGTAGATCATGTTGTGCGGGGTCGAGAACCCTCACTCCACGCAAAGGAGATGATCGCACCAAGTTGTGTTCAAATGGTGAAGCACCCTCGAGGCAGTTACACAGTGCTAATAACTGTCTCTGGAAGTGAAAGCACCAGAAAATAAATGGAGTCATACGCAGCTGTCATTCGTACGCAAGGAAGTAGGCACAAGATGCCGAAGCAGCATGCAGCGCACCCTTCATGCGACTCGCCGAATACCTCACGGTGCTTCGCGCGCTTGGTGATGTGAAAGCCTGGTCCGGTGAGAACCCGGCGTGCTCCGTCCCGGCTTTGTAGGGATGCGAGGTCAATGGTCTGACGACTACAGCATGCACGACTGGCTATGAGTACACCCCCCCCCCCCCGGGGTTTGCCCTCGGGGTTTGGGTTTTCGTCCCTTGGGAACGACCTTGTGAAACAAGCCCCCCCCTCGGTGTTTGCCATCGGGGGGGGGTTTTCGTCGCTTGGGAACGACGTTGTAAAACAAGCCAATTCACTTCGTGAACTCGGCAACCAGGTTACCGTTTTTATTTTTTTACCTCGGTTTTTTTTTTTGGCGGTAACCGTAATGGCGGTCGAGTAGATCATGTTGTGCGGGGTGGAGAACCCTCACTCCGCGCAACGGGGGATGATCGCACCACGTTGTGTTAAAATGGTCAAGCTTCCTCGAGGCAGTTACACAGTGAATACAACTGTCTCTGGAAGTGAAAGCACCAGAAAATAAATTAAGTCATACGTAGCTGTCATCCGTACGCAAGGAAGTAAGCACAAGATGCCGAACACCCTTAGCAGGATGCAGCTCACCCTTCATGCGACTCGCCAAATACCTCACGGCGCTTCGCGCTTGGTGATGTGAGAGCCTGGTCCGGTGAGAACCCGGCGTGCTCCGTCCCGGCTTTGTAGGGATGCGAGGTCAATGGTCAAACGACTACGGCATGCACGACTATGAGTACACCCCCCCCTCCTCCCCCTAACCCTATCCGATGCTTTCCTGCTGCAATCCCTGCCGTCGATCCTATCCTACCACTGTGTGTTCGGTCGGGTTTCCTCGGCCTGTGGGTGGATCATCGACCGATCATCAGCCCAGCGACATGATATGGCCAATTCGATGGGTGACATACTTCATACCGACGAGGTGAAACGCAGGCGTTGAAGCACGAAACCGAATACCAACGACCTATGTGAAGTTTCGACACTCCAAGAGTTCATGAAGGCCAGCGTGGATTGTTCTGTATGGGTTCACACTACAAACAAACGAACCCAGGTTACAATAGGCGTGAGTAGTTGCGTTAACCGGATCCCATAACTACGACGTCGTGTAAATAGTTCGAATTGCGCCATCACCAGAAAGAGCGTGCTAACCAAACTCCGGCACTAGCCATGATGGATTCGAAATATCTGACCTACCAGAGGCTGCAATTTGTGTCTCCAGACAACAAGTTGGAGTTGCCGAGGTACATTTGCCGACGGAAGACACATAACCTAAACGAACGGACTCTCGACCCTCCCTCTGGCTTGGTCGACCTTACGATGGCGCATGTCGAATAGAAATCAGTAGCATTGGGAGGCTTCATTGACTCCCGTAGAACATAGACTGCATATGGTGCTGATGTACTAAGACCGAATCCACTTGAAAGGTTTCTTGAAGTAGTTTGGACCGGGCACTTGGAAAAAGGGCTGCGGTGACACACAAAGTAAAAAACCGGGTTGAAACGACCAATAACCTGCGAATGAAACAGATTCCTGTTCTTTGTGGGCTCTTTCAGCCGCTGCAATACGGCCTCGAGCCTATATCGTGCGCAGGACACTTACGGGCGAAACCCAACAAGCACGGTTTCATTTCTTTGTGAAAACATGCAAGACAGGGTAGAACGGTCACGGTGTTTAACGTTTCACCATGACGATGATGTGGAAATATACAGGTTCGCGTTTGACGGCTACCTCCGTGGTATCTTCCAAGGGCAAGACTACGACACCCCCTTCGGCAGCGTCAGCGGCGAGCAGATATTGGAAAGTGCGTACCCACAAACGGATGTGAACGAAGATATTGTCTAGGTTCGAAACCTCTGAGGGCCGCCTGACGTCTATCTCGCTGTGTTTATTGTGTCTGAGTTGTTGCTCAGCCGTTTTTACTTGTTATCACCAAGGCCATCAAAACAGTCCAGACGCGACGTACGTGTGCATGCATGTACATAGTTCGCGGATTAACGAGTTCCATTTGAACAAAAGTAGCGCTTGCAAATCTTGGATACCGTGAACACAGTCCTCGTTTGGTGACAACGTGAGTGAGTGTTATTTGCTCCCAACACCGGGCTTCTCGATTGTGGAACGCGATGTTTCCGTTGCACAAGCAAGAACAAACACTTATCATTACGTCCAAACAAACAGATACACGTTTTGTGGGGGCTAGTTCTTGCCTTTGCCTTTTCCTTGAATCTGCTGCTGTTCCTTGCCCCCGTCTTCTCTGCGCCTGTTCCATTTGTTTTCACCTGGAACGCAGGCGAGTTCGCGCAGGAAGATGGTCACCACTGGTTGGACCTGCTCATCTTGACGGGCTGGGTCCTCGTCCTTCGCATTGGACACTTTTGCGTCATTTTCAGCGGGGTTCAGCCCTATCGCAAGGCGATGTCCGTTCTCACGGTGTAGAATCGGAGTTTCGTTGTAGAAGGGAGGTGATGGCTACGTGAGCTTCCACCCACCAAGTCGACCCCTGAAACATCTGACTGCGGCCGAAGCAGAGAAGGGGCCGCGAGGGGAGGAGGAGGGGCGAGGTGTTGCTCAGGAGGAGAGGGGGACGGGGGGGTGGGGAGGCTCGCGCACGCTCATGGCTGCATGTGTTGATAACAACAGGGCCAGGGTAGGATGGCCTCTCTAGAATAGAGAGGAAACAGGTAGACCGACAAGCACATATTCATCCCATAACCATCTTGACAAGGACAACAACAAGTTCGCAACACCACGCAAGGAATTCAGTGGGCTTTTGAAGCATTTCTAAAACCCGAATATACATTTATTTATGCAAGTTGATGCGATGACGTTGTCTGGAGCGTGTTGTGTAGTGTTTGCTACGAACCTGGTTCAAACTACCAAGTTCTTCAGGGTTAGTTTCCGTACGGTAGGGTCACTTGTACGATAATGATTCCCGGTGATTTGTATTTCGCATCGATCGACAAGGGTATAGTACCCGACGTATGCCCCTGCACCGAAACTTAGGGGGGGCGGGGGGAGGGCAGGCATCTAGAACTCTGTCTATCTATCTGTCTCTTAGTAGTTGTGAAGAAGGCTCACCGACCGGGGCCGATCGCTAGCGTTCGGAGAAGGGGGGGTCAGGCACCCGTATTTGTTTATGTACTGTTTGGTGTTTCGGCATATGGACCAGCGACACGGCAATAAAGAGGGAGGAAGATGGGGGTAAAACGGAGATCAGATGTACCGTTAAGGTATGGGGTGCAGGCATCATGTGAGTGCTATATCCAACCACTTGACAAGCATTCATTGGGTTGATATTAAAAGACCGAACGTGGGCATGCGCGGGGAACGAAGGTGGAAGCAACTGGTTTGAATAACCAAGCTCGGCAAACATGTCTAATAGGCCATTAGTCTAAGTCTCGCCAAAAGTCGCCGACACGGAACAAGGTGAGGTTAGTCCTGGTAGGTCGTGTGTAGACTTTGAGGGAAGAGAGTGCTGCACTCTTCTCGCATTAAACCATCCAAGGAAAGAACCGCAAGAGGGGTGGGTAGGGGGCCTCAGGGATCTCTTCTGTGTGACCACGGATTGATTGGAGCTCCTACCCGGCAGAAATGCTGTGAGCTGTGAGCATTGATAAAAAGTGATGGAACAAAGAAGCTGTCAGCTCTCAGCGCAAAAAGTGATGAACAAAGAAGCTGTGAGCGGTCAGCGCTGATAAAAAAGTGATGAAAACAACAAAGAGCAAATCAAACCCGAGCAGGGCTGCTTTGTATCGAACTATTTTTCAAGCTGTTCCTGTCCGACCGTATCCCGAGGTTCTCCAGGGGGAACCGGCAGGATGGACTATACTCGCCTACACAAGCCCACGCTCGCCCCATCCAAGCTGGGAAGAGCCTGGAATTCTAGGACCAAAAGGAGATAATCAAGTGCTTATTTTCAAAAGAAGGAATCCCGGACACGCCAAACACATGTTTTCGCGGCACACTCAAACGTTGTGCCTGCGAGAAGTTTGCATGGGAGCAACGTCTGCGAATGGACTCGCCCGCTGTTTAAGGCGGTTCGCTCTGCAGAGCGAGCGTAGCACGTTTTGTCCTGGGGCAAGGTCAATTTCGATGAAGGTTCTTAGGTTGTCGAGAAACCTTGGTCGAATTCGATTTTCCTGGGGGAGACTGTACAAGAGGCAGCAAGTGGGCTCTTCCTCCGAAAGGACCAACGTCACCAGTTGAGAATGTTGTGCGGCAAGTGTTCTTCCCACGTCCTGGGTAAAGAACCGACTTGTTGTGAGTCATCTCTTGGTACGCTGTATTTCTCCTCCTTCCGGACGAGAGCGGTCCAGAGTTATCGTCGCCTCCTGCAACGACCCCCGTCACCGGCACAAACCCTCAACGCACACCACTATACTATTGTTCATTGATCGATCTATCACACACGGCACAGGTAAAAAAAACAAAAAATTACCGCAATCATGAGATAAAGCACGTTGTACATTCCCGCAGGAGCACTACACTATATCAATACTCGGCATGCGCCCTCTCCGTCCTCATCATCGGCACCACCGTGCTCGGACAGCTGCAGCAAGGCGTTCGTGGACTCGCTGTCGTCGCCAAGCCCTTCGCGTGCTCCCCCCACGTCGAACGCAAGCCGGTCCGCGCTCCCCCCGCCTGCCGACCCCCCACCGCCTCCTCCTTCCTCGAGCTCTTCGAGAGACTTCCCCATCGTCTCGCGCACGAAGAAGTAGATGAACGCCACCGCCAGCACGCTCAGGACGCAGAAGACGGCGTACAGCCCGGCGACGCCGACCTTCTGCTGGTCCCGAGCGGACGGCGACGACGACCCGCCTCCCGAAGACGGGAGCAACCACTCCCCCATGGCGTCTATCGCCGAGAGGGTGAAGAGGCCGATGAAGAGGTTCGACAGCCAGTTGATGGCCGTGAAGATGGAGAACGCCTGTGCGCGGATCCTGGACGGGACGATCTCCGTGAGCAGGATCCAGCAGACGGATCCCTGGCCGAGGGAGAAGCCCGAGATGAAGAGGAGAGTCGCAGCCACCGCCTGTAAGGGCGATGTAGATGTAGTAGACCCGCCAATGAGAAGGGAATGAATGTCGCGACGAGGGGGCAGGCAGGCAGAGAGGCAGAGAATGATCAAGCGCAGGTTAACTTACAGGGAGCGAGCACAACGAAAAATCAACGCAGCAGCCTGGAGGAATGGGAGGGGGGCGGGGGCGGAGAAGACGGAATGTCGCGAAGAGACGAGAGAGGGAGGGAAGGGGGGGGGGTGATACTATCAAGCACAGACCACAAGAGAACGAGGAAAGCACGTTCCGAAAGGAGACGGAACGACAAAAAACGCTCAAAAATAGAGAAGAGAGCGATGATCGCAACCGCGGCAAAAGGGAGAGGTGGGCATGATCAAGGACAGACTGGGAGGTGGGGGGGGGCGGAGCAAAGCGTGGCGGCGAGTAAATGTCTAGCCGAAAAGATGGAGGGGACGAAAGAAAGAGGGGCACTTTCCCGTGAACGCACAAAAGGGTGCGGTGGGAAAAGGTGTAGGTCTTCGAGTTGTTGAACAGGGTAACGAAAGTATTAGCTCTGTTTGCTATCATAGCGCCCCTTCCCCATATCCACATACCCTTCATAGCGGAAGCAAAAGACCGCCTTCAAGTATTTCGTATGACGCTGGACGCACCGGAGGAATGACCCCATGCTCATTACGTATTCGAGTAAATAGCAGTCGACTACCCCAACCCATGCTGCACCATGAGCAGACCAACGTAGCTCACACGTACACCACAAATAGACTTTGATGATTTTCATCGGCTGGTTCAACCAACACGGAATGCGAAATCGCTGGGTAGCAGAGGCCAGCACGACTTTGAAGTCACGACAGAAACAACGCTGATCGTAAAACATTGCCGTGCCTGTGTAACAAAAAATACATTGAACGTGAAAAACAATGTCGACAACAGCGGCGGCTCACCAGACATCCCTGTGCCCGCGGCGTCGCGTTGAGCCAAAGCAGCGAGCCGCTCAGGATGGCCAGGGCGAGGGCCATGACGAGCGTGCCTATCAGCATGAGGCTTCTCCGCCCGGCCTTGTCGACCAGGATCCCGGACACGGAGGTCATCACGACGAGGGTCAGTCCCACGGAAACGGTCGCCAAAACCTGCACATGCAATTTTTTTTTTTTGCGGCAGTGCGAGTTGGTCCCCTCACGTTAGAACGGCGGTGGTGGCGACAGTGAGAACACACACCGTTCATAGGTCGAATCATGTGTTGAGTATCAACGGTACGCCACGCTGTCGAAAGAGAAAAGCCCGGCTTGTCCTCGGCCAAGATAAAATCTCTGCCCGCTGTGTCACACATGTCGACTGCCAGGAAACTCAAAGCAGTCATAACGAGATTCGTGTCTATCAGTGTCACGCCAAAGCGAAAAAAAAGGACCGAGTGAATTGAAAAACATCGAACTGGCTGACGACGTGCGGACTGCGCAGATACGTCATCAAGGGGATGCGGCGAAGCCGTGCTGTCCTGGGTCGAGAGTTCGCGATATCGGACGCCAGGAGAAAGAAGGGGGCTGCTGAAGCCAAAACGAACACCCGTTCGAGGTTTGGACTGCCCCGCAAAAGCACTCTCGCGTCATACAAGTCCTACGCGTATTATCGGCTAGCACGTAGAGCCGCGGCGCAGACAACACCCAAAAACCGTCATCGTCGAGAAGCTGACCGAAGCCACCTTGAAAAGAAGTTTCTCACTAGACACGGAATGTATAGCACCAGGGCATGGTCTAGACACGTTCTGGAAACGTTGGTTGCTCTCGGCACTAACACTGATTGCGGTATATCGCCCGACCCCAATTGCAATTCGGGCTATAACCTTAAACCTTATTCCTTACCCTAAGCCAACTCTTTGTTTTGTCTGCTTTGCTTCTTGGCACGTTCAACCCTCCTGTTCTTCGCACCCAAACTAAGCAAGCCGACGCGCGCTGAACGATAAGAAAAAACACACGGGAAATTTTCCGATGACTACCACTGTACACGTCCTCGTTTCCGTTCTCTTACCGTGTTGTCGACGCCTGCCAGCTCGAAGATTGTCGTCGAGTAGAAGACGACCGTGTTGATCCCCGTGAACGCCTGAGTGTGCATGCGTGATGCGTGCAGCGTGAGGGTGGTGAAAACATAGCAAGGAAACACGGCATACTGCACGCGACAACAGATTGTTTTTGCCCCATATCGTGCACTACCCTGGCAGGGTGAAGCGAGAAACCGTACGCGCAGTGTAGCCACCACTGCGTCAGCAGGGTGTCAACCTTAGGGGTGGTCAACTTGGTCCCGGGGTCTTTCCCCCTCTGTCCCCCCCAACCCTGTGCGTGAGCCAAATCGACAGCTGCTGTGATCACCGAAGAACAGCATATGGGGTGAACGGGTCATAGCGTTGCATTTCCATGTGTTCGGTGGCAACCATGGCAACACCTTCGTGTCTGAAGGCATACCTGAATCAGCATCAGCAATACTCCGATCATCACGGGCCTCCGGTACGCGAACACCTTCGGTGTCCAAGCGTTTGCAACAGGCGGGGGGGGAGGGGGGTGTACTCATAGTCGTGCATGCCGTAGTCGTTAGACCATTGACCTCGCATCCCTACAAAGCCGGGACGGAGCACGCCGGGTTCTCACCGGACCAGGCTCTCACATCACCAAGCGCGAAGCGCCGTGAGGTATTCGGCGAGTCGCATGAAGGGTGCGCTGCATCCTGCTAAGGGTGTTCGGCATCTTGTGCTTACTTCCTTGCGTACGGATGACAGCTGCGTATGACTTAATTTATTTTCTGGTGCTTTCACTTCCAGAGACAGTTATAAGCACTGTGCAACTGCCTCGAGGATGCTTTACCAATTTAACACAACGTGGTGCGATCATCCCCCTTTGCGCGGAGTGAGGGTTCTCGACCCCGCACAACATGATCTACTCGACCACCATTATGGTTACCGCCAAAAAAAAAACCAAAAGGTAAAAAAAAAAACGGTAACCTGGTTGCCGAGTTCACGAAGTGAATTGGCTTGTTTTACAACGTCGTTGCCAAGCGACGGAGACCCAAACTCCGATGGCAAACACTGGGGGGGGGACGGGGGGGTCATTCGGTGCTTGCCTCCACAAATGGCGAGGTAGAGCGCGCACACTTCGAGGCGGGTCACGTTTCAATTTTAAATTGAACGTGTGAAAAAAAAAAACTCCCACGGGCCTTCTTTCTGTGAAACCATGCGTCCACATATACCGTAGTCTGACGTGCAAAACCAATTGGCAAAACAGATGGCGTGACACACATACCAGAGACACGAACCGATCGCTCATGGGGGGGGGGGTGGGGGGCGGTATACGGGATGAGATGGGAAAACTCAACGAGAAAGCATGTGTCAGACGAATACACCAACAAACGGTCTCTGTTCGTGCTCCCGCTTCAAGAGGGGCGTCCTACTGCTTGGTCCATGCATATCGCCCCGGTCAATGGACGTGGCAGCAGCTAGGTCGAGGTTGAAATTACGCCGCGATAGCCGAAAGTGAGGTCAATTTGCAGGACCAAGTCATGATGGTGGTGGCAGTGAAAAGTGGTGGTAGCGATAATGATCGTTGTAGTTGGCTCGCCCACCTTTCGTCGGGCTCATTCAGAAAACCGGAAGAGGAGCAGGCAGCCGCACAATCCAACCACCGAATGGACAAACGAGCGGGTTCGCCAATCCCAATCCTAGCTAACTTGTTTACGTACCTCAGCCCACGACACGTTGCCCTTGTGCTCCTCGCCCTTGTTCCCGCCCATGCCATCCACCTCGCGGCCAATCTCGTCGTCGGTCTGCCCCCCGCCTGCTCCCCCTGCCCCCCCTCCGCCGTGAAGCTTCCGGAGAACAGCCTTCGCTTCGGCAATTCTGCCTTGCTTCACCAGCCACCGCGCCGACTCCGGCACGAGTCCCGCGAGCGCGAGCTGAGACGGAAAACGATTTTATGTCGGGGAGGAGGCGAGAGGGAGGGGGGGGGGAAGGATCAGCAAAGTCAGAACATCTCATCCGCGTCCCACGTGTCAGAATAAAAGGGCGTGTTGGGAATGTGTTGTGGTCGAACGCCGAGACGATCGAGTAAATTCCTCCGCCCCTAGCTTTTCCGTCCAAAAGAATGCGCCAAACAGGTACAGAACGGTTCTGGTGGATGACGGCCTGATCGATGCTGACGACATTCGTGACAAAAATTAGAGGCACAAGTGGTGTCATGATATGCGACTACTGCTTTGTCAACACCCCCAAAACAAAAAAGTTGTGGAAGTAGAGTACCCGAAGGCGTCGCGGGTGGCTGCCAAGACTCCAAATTAGCAAGCATGATTTGTTCATGGATCGATGGACGGAAAATGTTGCCGATCCGAACGGCCAACCTTAACCGGGACAAGGGCTACCAAGACACGCCTACTTAGCGCGCGTGTGATGAAGCTGGACGGGTGGTAAACAGCAGCGTGCGCGACCGATCCGAAGAGAAACGGGTTAACGTAACCGACAGGAAAAACTTCTCCCAGCAGTGCACCGCGCCTGATCTACTTCACCAACTGCGGGCAAGATATCAAGCAATACTTCGAACGAAATGAGAAAATTTCAGACAGGATGCGCGTGTCAAACCACTCAATATCCGAACAAGAAAGACCACCAACGCGAGCTTAACATGGCGTACACATGTCGCGCCAACAACAAAACGAAGCTGGTTCACAGCACACCCGTGTTTGCAACTTTTCAACAGTCGTGGAGTGTGTGGTGTTGTGGATGCACCTGTACTGCGGCGGGGACGACGATGAACCCTTGCACGTATCTCCAGCCATGCGGCACGTCCTCGACGAGCGCGTATCCCAGGAGCCCGGAGGACAGGATGCCGAGGTTGATCATGAGCTGGTGGATCGAGCCCACGGCCCCTCGGTTCTTCGGGGAGGACACCTCGGAGAGAAGGACGGGCACCACGCCGGAACCACAACTTCGCACCGCGGCCACGCACGCGTATAGATACGACAAAGCAGACATGAAAAAGATGAAACAGAGAAGATAAAACAACGAAGCCGCACGCGTAGCTAGATAGGCAACACGACATGAAACGACCAAGAGAAAAGCGAAAGTTCTGGGTCAACCGTTCAGTGAACACGACCAATGAACAGGTGTGCTTTTTCAGCGTTTTCTTGCTTCCTCTCAAGACATCAAAATGATGTCCGGGACATGTCTAAGCGGAGGTACGCCACTACATCGTCCGACATACATCAGGCGTCCGAGGGAGGACCAGGGCTTCAGGCCATTTCAAGGGTGAACAAAGGGGAACGACGCGATGAGGGGGGCAGTGTAGCTCACCGCTACTCCGGTCAACCCTTACGACCGCAAAAGAACAACATTCAAGGGTACAGCCGTGCTCTCGAAGAACGCTAAAACTTGCTTCAGAGAAGCAATCATGAACCACAACAGCACAACCGAAACACATTAAGAAAAAAAGCAGCAAGGCTATTATAGCGCAAAAGGGCTCCGGCAAAACTCACTGGTCTATTCACCACTCACCCGACACCCATTCCTGCCAGGAACCTCCCGGCGAACAGTTCCGAGGACCCCACAGCCACGGCGCACAACAAGCCGCCCGCGATGAACAGGGCGTTGTTGTACAGCAGCGTCGCCCTGTTCTCCGGAGATCATCAGAGACATCGGAGAGATAAAAAAACGCCGAAGATGCGACGCGACCGAAAATGAGGCGGTAGTTTAGTTTGTGACAGATACCTTCCAGCGAAAAGATACACACAGCGGAGGTGCGGAAAACAGAACGGTCCCACGGATGATTCCTGGACTGGCCCTGGGGTAGGTATGGAGTTGTATCATGCTAGGAGTCGGCGGTAGTACGAACTCCCCATCCAGGGCTCAAAAACGACGGCCTGTTCAAGAGACGTGTCCCCAATTCGAAACCCGAGAAAAAAACACCTTTACAAACACGGGCACCGAGTTCTAAGCTGGCCCTCTTCAAAAAGAGGAACATGCTACTGTGCGAGGAGAGGATCGGTCACCACCTACTATACAAATAGCGACGTATAGAAGCATTTTGAAGAGCACTACGATGACGCTTCCTATTCTGCGTGGAAAGAAATCTCAGGCTCGGCTTTTCCGTGCACCAGACATTGACATTTCTTTGTGAAAGGGCCGCCGGCGCTTTGCTATCCACGGCGACCAACGGCTCCCTACAGCAGTACCACGCCGACACCTACCGGCGGCCGAGCGCATCCGACGGCCTGCTTGCCATCATGGACCCCAGCCAGGCCCCCGCGACCAGGAGGGAGGTGGCCACCTCCTGCTGGACGGTGGGCAGGTCCAGGTCTCTGAGCGTCGAGCCCGTGGGGCAGGTGGCGTCCTCCCCGGAGAGGCAGGCCCCCGGGCTGGCGGCGTCTCCCGTGACGAGCACGGTGTTGAGCGCTGAGAGACAGTACCTGTTTTCGTGTGTGTTGTTGTTGCGGTCGTATTCGGGGCCATTCCAGAAGGAAATGGCTTGACTGACCATGTTTGAAGCGTGTTGTATTTACACCGTAGGATATAGTATAAACCTAACCTACTCCTCCCCCCAAAAGCTGTACACACGTTTACAAAGTGTTTTCCTGCGGGCGGATACATAGATATCCCCCCAGCAGTACAATAGAAATATATGGTTCCACGCAGTGTTGATGTTGGTCGGTCGGGGTTAAATTACCGCTGTAAACACGCCTGACCACATCTGGGGCAGAAAACGCGAACTTCGTGTTGAAGTATCCGTGGCCGTTGTGTGTGTGGGATGCACGATGTATGTCGTGGTTGCTTGGAACCTTATCAAATCATCATCCAAGGCGTTAGACCGTCGGAGAGTATCCTGTGTATCGGAGACCAAGGTTCAAGCGGTGTCTCCACCGTGTACATCAACTTTTTTGCGCATCCACCAGCGGAGAGACGAAGGTAGAGAGTTGTCGCAAAAAGATGCATGGCGGATGCATGGTTTCTCCAAACGGCTGTACATGTTTTCTAGAGATGCACGTGTCGATGACTCCACGAAAGCTAGTGCACTTTCAAATCTGCTTTCAATCTGTTCCAGAATCAGGGGGTTGATCAACGAATCCATGCGCAGTAAGTTACACCGAGTGTTGTGTGCTATGCATACCTGCGCGCAATGGGGAGACCTTGTACTGAAAGGGGTCCTCGATCTTATACAGCAGGATATCACGCACTGAACACATGCACGTACTATTAGGGCATGTAGCGCAAAGAGAGCAGGCACCGCTTGCGACACGCGGTCGCATGACCCGCAGGGGGCAGTAAAGGTGTGCTTCGCTACAGCCAGGTCTTCGAGGACATCACGCCGTTCCGTCACCTGCATCTGTGCCCGATCCTGATACGAATCACATCTGCAGCTCAAGATCACACTGCTCACCCGAATAAGAAGCTGGGCAGGGCGCTGATGAGGCTCGAGGCCCACATCCTGCGCGACACTGCGGAGGGCCGATGCTGCTGCTGCATGCTACTGCTCTACACTTACACACTTACTGTATTTAGTACAAAAATATGCGGCGAAACCAGCCAGTTCCGTGTTCGGAGCGCAAGGGTGCAGGAGTGCAGGGCCGGGCCAGTGCCGTTCGCCGTGCGGTGTCTCCCTCCTTCTGGGCAAGCGCTACCCCAGCGATCTAGGTTGTTGAACTTGCTCCCTCGACGAGTGCTAGAGGAGAACACGAGAACTCAAGTTGCCACATGAAGACGGTCATTTGATGAACCCCCAGAAAGAGGTGTACCGCCGTATGTACTTCTAGTTCTTGTACAAGGACAGTGTTGCGGACAAATAGGGGTACAAGAGTGGACTCAGCTCGCTCGGCGACGCTGATTGGTCCGCTCAGCCCCCTAAGAGGCAGAGTTCGGATTCGCTAGGAAGCGCCAGAAGAGGCGGCCCTGGGTGTGGCCACAGCTGACACTGACAGTCAAACCTAGATGAGGAGAATGAAGCCTTCATCTAGCTCACCACGGCATGTGCGTCCGCTAGCATGCAGCTACTGTGAAAATTTGAGGGGAAAAATTTCGCGAGGTGTCGCGAGGAAAGGAAAGTAGATAAAGGACCGCTGCTGCGTTCGGAGTTGCGCTCAACCGTTTGGTTGACGTGTATTTAGTAAATAATCTTCCCCCGGCCTGCCCCCCGTCATCTCTCCGACCCCGGTGCGGAAATGCAATTAAATTATATCCCTGCTGGGGTGGGCCGAGGTCTGTAAGTGGACTTTGACCTCGAAACACCACCCAACAAAAGACGGATACGCAGTCCCTAGGACTGATCAGAAGGGGATCCTGAGTTTGGCGGCCGGGAACTGCCGCTGTCGTAAGATCGGGGTACAGCTCGCTGCCTACAAGGCGACTTGGGTAGCTGCAAATGAGACTGAATCCAGACGCCCCGGCTTGGACACCGGGGCCATGCAGCAGCAGAGAACAGGGTGACCACCGTGGGGGTATGCAGCAGAGAGGGGAAATGAGAGGGTCCAGAGCTGATGGAGGGCCGCACCGCTCCGGGACAAGACAACTCGCTGGGACAGAAGGCAAGCACCGGAGTAACTTGTACGTTAGCCCGAGAGCCCGCAAAAAATTAAAACGACACTAAGAGAGGGGGGCACGCTTGGGCACGAAGGAGGAACAGGAGATTTATTTCAAAATGAGCGGGAAACAGCTACACTCAATCTACGGTACAACTCCAACTTCTGAAATTAATTCAAAAATTTTCAAACCATTTTGTGGTTGATGTACAACAACAGTCCTACAGCCGTACATACTGTCGTCTATATTCAAGTAGCCTAAAACAGCAGCGAAGTACTTTCTAAAAACAGCAAGTTCAAGTTGTTAAACGACACTCACTGCGCCATGTTCCCTGCGAAGGCCACATTCTACATGAAATTAAGAATGTATCCGCCTACTATACAGATGCTTTTGTTCTTAGTACCAACTGGCATCACTGATAACTCAGTGTTAGGCTTACGCAAACTCAAAATAAGCCAAGTCAAGTTTCCAGTCGGCTTCAATCCACTTACTGAAAAGACTTCACCACATGCCTTTCGACTGAGGTTATATATATACCGTATATGACACAAGATAACACACCCCCTGGACCGATTTTCAAAGCTCGATTACTCCACGACGAAGAGGATGCATAAGACGAAACAATACATTTTCGAAAACCTCTCGACGAGACGGTTCCAACGCCGCCGTTTTCGGCGCTGTGACTCTTCCTGCTGTTGAGAAATCGAGCTTTGAAAATCGGCCCAGGGGGTGTGTTATCTTGTGTCATATACGGTATATATCTCGAACGGGTAGTAGTCTTTCTGTGAGGTTATTTTTACTTTCTGAAAAGGAGGGGACGGGCGAAGCGTAGACTGGCTAAGAGAGCAGCACGCACCGCCCGAGAGAGACAGCAGGGTCGACTTCTTAGGGTATATACATATATATATATATATATTAGGAAACAAAAATACAAACACAGAAAGACTACCCATTCGAGTATATATAGCAACCTGGAATAATGTGCAGACTCTGGCTGTGACACGACAAAAGATGGGAGATTGGATATATATATATTCGGGGTGATGATCCTGTGCAGAGGGATGAACAAGCATACCAATCAACATATGGTCGGAGCAAAGAGAGTGCGCTGCGATACCTTCGAGGATGCCCGGATATGCCACTAAAGTTCAGGAGAGGACAATGAGACCTGAAGTGCTACTGTGACGCGAGCTTCGCCGGATCGAGCGAGAGACTCCAGAAACAAACGTTCTTGTACAGGATATTCCTGTTCATTTTAGCAGGAGGCGTCATCAGTGCAGCGTTAAATCTGCAGAATGAAGCTAACAGCTCATCAATCAAGCTTACATGCGGAGATCATCTTGATGGCTACAGCAGCGAGGGAAGCCATTTTTTTGTATTTATTTATGTTTGTGAATAATTTATCATGCAAGGTGCTATATGGGAACTTGGATTTCCATGTGCGGCAAAATCCCGCTTCATTCGGTTTCCAGGGGAGGAGCACTTAGTACAGCAGGAAACTCCATGTTTGGAGGCCGCAGCAAGTTCATCGGCACAAGGTACTGGCTACTGCGCCAGAACGTCAACCAGGGAAATATTGCAAGGGTATGTTCTGTAGGGTCTGTAACTTTCTGTAGGGTATTCGAAGTTGTCACAGAACTCACAGAACTATCGGGTAGGTATCGGAAGTGTCACAGAACTCCACAGATGATATAATCGGGTTTGTGAGAAGGTCGTACAGAACCCACAGAAAATTTCGGGTATAGGTTCACAAATTAAATCTCTACAGACGTTTTCTGTACTGTTCTGTCGTGTCACAGAACTCACAGAAGTTTGCTGTAGGGTATTGAAAGTGCAACAGACCTCACAGAAATATCCGGTATTGTATCGCAAGTGCCACAGAACTCAACAGAAAAATCGGGTTTGTGCCAAGGTCGTACAGAAGTCACAGAACCTCGCGGGTAGGTTATCAAATGCTCACAGAAGTATTCTGTAGGGTATTGGAACGTCACCGAAGTCACAGATGTTTTCTGTAGGGTATTGGAGCATCACAGACGTCACAGAAGTGTCCGTAGGGTTTTCAAGTGTAACAGAACTCACAGACGCTTTCTGTAGGGTATTGCAAGTGTGACAGAACTCGTCTGTAACGTTCTGTAGGGGGTATTTAAGCATGTTGCTCAAATGAGAGAACACCCTACACATACCCCCCCCCCCCCCGGTCTCTCTGCATCCGGTTGTTCGCCCTGGTGTCACCTGACTGCAGAGCGGCAGTAAAAGAGCAAGCAAACATGCAAATACCGTGCCCATTCTTGAGGTGCGAGTTGACGTTGCTGCGGTCGCCGCCTTTGCAGGGGATCATCTTGTTCTTGCGGCGGCACAAGGAGTCGGCCATGCAGAAAAACTGGTGCTTGTCGCTGTTCGACGCCTCGATGTACACTCCTAGCGAATACATGCAACTTCTCGCGGGACCCCTTCCTCACAAAGCCTGCTGGCACCGTGAAGTCATCGACTGCCTTCACCACAGCCGCGTCCACGGCATGCGGCTCCCCGTTCTTGTTGTAGACGGCTGCGGGTGCGATTACGGGCACGCCTGCATCACCGCCTCCCGCGTCAACTATCTCTACCTCTCCCTCGCGTTCTGGTGGTGGTGGTGTTGCTGCTGCTGCTGCTGCTGCTGCTGCTGCTGCTGCCTCTGCCCGCGTTCTGACTCCTCCCGCAGCGATCGATGATCCGCTCGGAGGGTCCGCGGTGGTAGAGGTAGAGCTCATGTCCCTCTCCTCCACAGCGATACAGATGCGTCGTGGTTGTTCACAATGATGTGTATGTGTGTGGTGCATGCTCACCATGACTTGTGTGCGAGAACCACGTGATTTGTTCTTGTTTTTTTTTCTGCAAATTAACAAGGTGCGCTTCAAGTTTGGTTGGTGGGCCAGACTCAGAACATAGAGCGTACAGACGTAGCCCGGTAGGTAGGGTATTGACAGCGTCACAGATCGAACAGAAGTTTCCGGTAGAGTATTGGAAGTGTCACAGATCTCACAGAAGCGTCCGGTAGGGTATTTGAAGTGTGACAGAACTCACAGAAGAATTATGTAGGGTATCGGAAGGGTTACAGAACCTCACAGAACGTTTCTGAAGGGTATCGGAAGTTCCACAGAACTTACAGAAATATCCGGTATTGTATCGCCAGTGCCACAGAACTCAACAGAAAAAATCAGGTTTGTGCGAAGGTCGTACAGATCTCACAGAACGTAGCGGGTAGGTTAACAAATGTGTACAGAGGTTTTCTGTAGGGTATTGGAGCGTCACAGAACTCATAGGCGTTTTCTGTAGGGTATTGGAAGTGCCACAGATCTATTGTGCTGAAGTTCGTGAGGAGTGAGGACCAGCTGGCAGACATACTGACGAAGCATCTGGACCGTGTTCAATTCGTCAAGCTGAGAACAATGTGGTTCAACATGGAGGATCTCCGAAATAATGGGAGATTTTATGCGGTGCAACTATGAGACAGTTTCAGATGTGCTTCGACAACATCAGAGAAGGACGGAGGTGCTGTGACTCGAGACATCACGCACAAAGACGCTCAAGACATCATACGCTGAGACATCAACAACCAAGACAGGACAACCTGGAAAATACTACAATCAAGACAACGAGAGCAGCAACTGAACCAATGGCATCATCAGAGCATGGATCTGGAGTTATTTCGAGCGATGAAGAACTTCGCGTCGGACAACAGCAACAGTACGACAAGGACAACGCCAACGGAGACAACGGAGATGACAACCAAGAAAACAATAACGAAGAGCCAGATGGGTCAATGATCATGGGAATTGACCATGATACTTTAGTGGAACTAGACAAATACTTAGTTAGGTATTGATTTCATGAATACTTTGGAAGAGGACGGAGTTCTACAAACCCAAGAGTTA